AGCGCTGCGGTCAGCCCTGCAGGTGGCAGGTGAGCACCAGAAGGGGGACGCCCTCCCCCTGAGTCACCCCTCTCACTTCCCTAGCTCCTCACCCACTGCCCAGTGCTGACCCCTGTTACAGCCCCAGGCACCCTGTTCCTCCACTGTGCCCCCTCTGTCCTTGCCTTATCTTGACCTCTACCTTTTGCCTCCCTCAAGCCCCCTACTCGAAGCCCAGCATGACCTTGGAGCCCAACAAGGACCTGCAGCCTGGGGATATAGTGACCATCATGTGCTCCAGCTACCAGGGCTACCCTGAGGCCGAGGTGTTCTGGCAGGATGGGCAGGGTGTGCCTTTGTCGGGCAATGTGACCACATCGCAGATGGCCAATGAGCAGGGTTTGTTTGACGTGCGCAGTGTTCTGAGAGTGGTGCTGGGTGCTAATGGCACCTACAGCTGCCTGGTGCGCAACCCCGTGCTGCAGCAGGACGCTCATGGCTCCGTCACCATCACAGGTAGGGGACTGATGAACTGCTGGGGAGGATGGAGGAGCCACCCCCTCTTTTCTAGATGCTGGGCTGGAATTTAGATAGGTTTGAATGTTCAGAAGACTTGAAAAACCATTTTCATACATTTTAGGTGTCTCAAATTCTCTCCCAAGAAGTCCTTAAGGGACTTGCCTTAATGAACTGGTACAAGGCATTTGTAATGTTTACTATCCTAGCAGCACCTTAGGTGGCACTTATGCTTCTTATACAGGGAACCAAGTACTTGCCTGGAATATGAGGTGTGGTTGGGAGTTCTGGGGCAGCTCCAAGGCATGGTCCCAGCACCTGGCGAGGAAGTGTTTTCTTATGGGAACTTCTCTGGCTGATGGGAAGGCTTTGCTGCGTCCATGGGTGCCATTTGATTCTGAGACCCTGAGAGACAGCTGGGCTTCTACAGGTGGTCAGCCCCAGCAACGCATCAATGTCAGCTCTTCTATAATTGCGCTCACAACCCAGGCAGCAGTCAGAATGGCTGGGGCTCTCTCTGCTGCTCCTATGTGGTCAAATACTAGGTTGATGCCACAATCTCTGGTTTGGGGGGTCCTAGCACAGACACCCTTTCTCTTCCTTGAATGCCCACCTTCGTGGGCATCCCTTGTGCCTGGAGATGTGAAGCAGGCTCAGGCCAAGGGAAGCCGTCTCCGTCTGTGTTTGGATCTCAGTCTGGCTCCTCAGTTCCTCCCCATGAGCCAACTGACCTTTCCAGGGGCCTCCCCACGAATCTGGGTCAGGACAGCAGGTTATGCCCTGTTTTTCTTCCTATGACTTCCACTCAACCCCCCAGCCCACCCATGTCCCGATCTGCACCTGGGCTTCAGTTTCTGCACAAGCCTCAGAATTCACTGACTTATTCCTGTCTCTTCTCACAGGCGGACCTGGACCTTCCAAGGCCTTCACTTGTCTTCTAGGCATTCAGGCTCACTCCTCCTTCTCTTTCAGGTGTTTCCTTCTGTCAAGGCTGTGTTCCCTCTGCCCACCCACCCAAGATGGACCCCACCCTATTCCTGGGGACCCCCTGGGCTGGTGATCTTTGTGGAGAAGTCACTGCCCCAGGCTTTTGGATGTTCTGAGGGGTCTCCTTGGCTTATTAAAGAACAGCATATTTTCTGGTGTGTTTGTAGGAAAGAGTAAAAACTATCAGATAGTGAGATTGACTGGAGTGGTCAAGAGAAGTCTCCTGGGACTGGTGAGAGTTGAGAGACCTTGACGGATCGGTGGGCTTCCTGGCAATTTGCACACTGGGCTGAAATGGATATTTGCCGCGCTGTGCAAAAGGGCTTGTCAGTCAAATGTAATTGCAGGGAGAATGTTTACCCCACCAAAGACAAAGATCTTTACATAAACTTTAGTAACTAACATTTAGAGTG